ATCTTGGTCATTTGCCTTACGACACAAGACTCTCTGAAATAGATCTGTTTTCTCTCAAATCCAGACAACTGCGCGACGATCTTAGTTAAACCTTCCGGATTGACAGGGACCAACGATGTGCCCTAGACTTTCTCGACTTCTTCGAATAGACTAGGACGGACCGTTTGCGCGGTCATCCTTTTAAACTGTAGAGGAAGATGGCCCATACAGATATTCGACGGAAAGCCTTCTCGCTAAGAGTCATTGGAGCCTGGAACAGACTCCCTGACGCGACGGTTCTTTCCAAAACTATCGAGTCGTTTAAATTTAGACAGACGCTTATTTGCCGAGAAATTACAGCACGTATAACCACGATTGTGTTAACGACGTCTGTTTCCACCTGACTCATACATACCGATAACTTTTACATTTTCAGAATTACTAGTGTAACAACTGATTCTATTACTATTTTGGATATGAACAAGGAGCTCATGAGCGAAATCCCATCCACTCAATAAACTCACTTAGAATGACTTAACGTCGTGAGCATCTATCGACAACAGAGGACGGGTGTAATTGCAATTAACATTCGATGGATAGTTATTTAAACAGAGTGCTCAAAGTGCGCTCTTGGCCACTGTTCCCTGAAGTCTACACTCTAAGATCTTATCACATAACATATCCTTCTCCCAATAAGAACGTGGAAAATGTAACATCCTTTTATTTTGATTTCGTCTTCGCAAAAGATGTAGACAATATATACGAGATGTACACCTATCACCACGACCTAAAATGGAGGTCAATTAGAGGGAAAAGTTGAGGAAGAAGTTTTGTGGAAACAAAGAACGTGCGGCCTTCAAAGAATACAAAGCACAGAGTTAAATTCTTAATTTTCAATATATAGTGAGATTGTAAAAGTACTTTGTTCCACCGAGTCGATAAAAATCCTAAATTTCGCTAAAGCTACTTGCGAGGAATACAGATTAGAGCTCATATCTGTAAACGTAAAGAGTAATGAAGGTCTCGACATGTCTACTATTACGAACAAAGTTGCGCATTTTTAGCAGCTCATCCACTCCGTTCTTACAAGAGAAGTAGATTTTATATCGCCTTCATACGCAAACATGGAAAATCGACTACAGAGAATATATATTTCCAATAATACTGTTTCCGGAAGGAGCAAATTTTCAAAAACGTTAAAAAACGTGAAGAATTTGAATGTCCTGGTTATGATAAGATTCCAGGAATACTGCCTTTTGAACTTGTCCGAGAAATGGCTAAGCCGATGTCGTTCATGTGTCAGAAGATGGTAACCATTGACATCCTTTCCGCAGACTGACGAGCATTCCAAAGAACCCTGATTAACCGAATTGGTAGTAACACACTTGCGGACACATATAGGCCCGTCAGCCTGACCTCAAACTGCCGCAAAGTCACTTAAAATTTTATGCATCGTTTTTAAATCCACGACCTTCTTTCCAATGTACAATGTGACTTTCACAAGGGAATATTTCGTGCAACGATGTGTTTTATCTGATGCAGGGCTGAGAAACATCACTCAGGGGAAAATACACTGTGCATCACACAAACTATGCTTTAGGAAGACCCTTGGTGGGGCTCCGCAGATGTATCCTGTACAAAATAAGAGCGATAGGTATTAGAGTCGGGCTTCTTAGACGGACCAGAAGTTCATTCTCAATTGTCTGTTTGACGTAGCGGCCGTCATGGGGCTCAGTCATAGAGAGTGGAGTTGCACAGGGTTTAATAATCTGGCCGGCCCTCTTTCTCTTATTTATTGACGATTATGTAAAAGAGTTGGACCGTGATTGCGCTATGTCTGCGAATGATATAGAAATTCGACAGTCAACCACAGAGGTATGACGAAGCTGACTTCGCAGAAAATATTTTTCGATTGGAATAATGGTCCACAGATGACTCCTGTAATTCAAGTGGAACAAATGTACCATGCTGTATCTCGGAAATTGTACCCAAGTTTCTAATGCACGCACCGACCATCTATACAGAATACCGCACCAAAAAGCCGAAACGAAAAAAGGTCACGGCGTTTCGGTCGCGAGAACTCACCAATCTTCTACGCACTTTCGTAAAGTGTCTAAGGTCGCAACTGTACTGCTGTGCGCGGCCGAGCAGGCATTCACAGTTTTCTATGAAAACTGCTTCTCCAAAGCCTTCGGCACAATTGCGATGTCACACTTCGTACGTGTGACACCAGCCTGGAGAAGCTGGACGAGGCAGGACTAAGACCTACACGAAGTAATTAAGAGAAGAGCATAAAATCAGTAGGGATCGAGGTGCAATGATATACGAGAAATACCTAACTAATAAAAATGTCTGTCCTAAGTATGTATATGTATATGTATGTATGTATATGTATATTGAAGGGTTACAGGCAGAGCCCTTGATGACCCTATTTATGTACAGTGCTTTCGCAGATTCATACTCAAAAATAAAATAAAATTGCAGGCATTTAAAATGTGATTGGATCACAGTTCAATCGTAATCATAAGGTAGTGCATGGGGTCACTGTAAATTGGTGCGGAAGATTGTATATGACAGATTTTACAAAACTGGCTGAGCATAGTCATGCTGTACAAGCCGATTTCTGTCGAAAACTAGACGAGCAAGTTTTCTTTTAAACACACAAACTGTGTCAGCCGTCACCATCTCGCTTGGAAGCGAGTTCCACGGCCTGACAACCCGCTGGCTGAAAGAAAATTTTCGCCGGTCTAAACGTGTTCGCTCATTCCCGACTTTGAATGCATGGCCGCGTAGATGGTTTGTGTGGGCGAACTCAAAGAAGTCCTCTGCTCTTAATGAGCAACCCTGGCCGCGAACAATCCGGAAGGTCCAGAGTAGACTGCAGTTTATTTGTCTATAAGAGAGAGGGAATGGGCCAAGCAAATGCAGCCTCTCCTGATAAGACAAATACTTTAGACCGTCGACCATCTTTGTCGCTCTGCGTTGCACCTGTTCGAGTAAGTTGATATCCTTCCTCATCCATGGTGAAGCTGCTGGCATTCCGTACTCTAGATGAGATCTTACAAAGACACCAAAGAGTCTTTCGAAAAGTTCGGGAGGAAATATTTTAAATGCACGTCTGATCCAGTGTAGAGTACTAGTAGCCTTCTGGACCATCTTTCTGCAGTGTTCTGATGGCGATAGATTTGTGGTCGTCCATACACCCAGATCTCTGTGTCTTTCCACAGTTTCTAACCTCGTCCCGTCAATATAGTACTGGTGTTTGGAAGAGGCATTGCGGCCGGTGTTCAGGTGCAAAACCACGCATTTGGACACGTTAAACTTCAAAAGCCATCTGTTCGACCAAGCACACAGTTTGTTGATGTTCGACTGCAATTTCTCTGCGTCATCATCGCATTTGACTTCACTCCATATTTTTATGTCATCAGCGAACATGAGAGCCTCGCAATTAACTTCGTTGATGCAGTCATTAACATAAATCAGGAAGAGTACTGGGCCTAAGACAGAACCCTGTGGGACACCACTTTCCACCTTTACCCATTCCGAGGTAGAATTACTAACGACGACTCTTTGTAGTCTGGAGGACAGAAAACTCCTGATCCACTTAAACATTCTCCCTTCCGAGGTAGAATTCCTAACGACGACTCTTTGTAGTCTGGAGGACAGAAAACTCCTGATCCACTTAAACATTCTCCCTTGAATCCCTACATCCCAGATCTTTTGTAAAAGAAGCCTGTGTGGGACACTGTCAAAGGCCTTCTTGAAGTCAAAAAATATGACATCTACTGGAAAACCCTTATCGGTAGCTCGTGTCCATTTCTCGTGCGAGTAAAGAACACTCGTTAAGCAGGAGCGCCCTGGACGAAAGCCGTGTTGGGCATCGCACAATATTTTGTTCTGTTCCAGGTATTTCATCAAGTGTTGTAGACATTTGCGCGGAGACCTGATACGGGCATGTGTGGTTAGAACTGTGGATTATTCCAAATCGTCACAACAAGCAACTTCAGGGACAACCACTCAAACACATTTGTGTGTGTCCAAATGAAAACTGAATGCACAAAAATGCGTATAGTAGGTAAAATGTGATTCCCACGTGAGATGTCAAAAGAATATAGGCGGCCACCGGGAGCTGTTTATTGCAGGTCTGACTCTTCGATTAATTATTTCGCCTACCCATCTTCAGTGATTAGAACCTCATGAGCGCAGCTCTCATCATATTGTACACTTTGCTTGATGCGTAGTCTGCCAATGCTGCCTGTGTGGCTGCATCCGACAAGCATTTCACCTTGGAATAACCTGTCCGAAGAAATTGCAATGTCTCAGTCTGTGGAGTCATTTAAACGCTGCCTCGTCAGACGCATGTTGCAACAGCAAGCGAACAACGTGACTACGTAACTTTAAAAACAAATGTAGATTTGAAAATAAGTCCTGTTGTGCTTGACAATGTAATTTACTTACATTGTTGTTATTAATTCCGATTTATAGGTGACAAATAGGGAATTGAAAGACATAAGCCTGTTTCCCTCAAGTGTATTGAACTTGAAAATGAAGGTAAAGTAAATATAGAAACTATCAGACAAGATTCGGCTGCATATGTTATACCACATAATTAGGACATGGTGATTAGCGACATCATTTGCCTTTTAAAATCATATCCGGATTCAATATTTCAGTTCTGTCCTACCTGATTTCCGTATAAATGACCACATTCACTTTAAGCAGTAACCCGGCTGGTTGGTGTCCTGGTTTATCAGTGTTCGACCACTTCACACTCTGCGTATCCTCCAGATTTCCCGTTTTCTCATCTTCTTCTTAGTTATAGAGACTCCGTTGCATCCAATTTGGCGTAAAACTTTGAAACCATCCTACAGTTAAGACGCTGAGTAATTTAGGTATCTGAATAATTAATCGTCTTTGCGAACTGTAGAAACTCGCCACGGAGGCCTTCCTGAGGAGACAGTTTTAAACAAACTTTACCCGGCTTTTTCGTTCGTGCGTTTTTTTGTTCAGATAGGCTTGGCATGCAACGCTTTGGTTTTGGACGTATCCCGTCCTTCATTCGGCAGGCGTTACCCAAACCAATTGACACTTTGAGACCAGCACTTATAGGGTAATTTAAAAAAACTGCCTACGGTTTCGTTTTGTTATATGCACATAGCTCGGATAGTGACGCATCGTGTAGCGGATTTCCCTTGCATAATGGCACAGTTGCTAGTTAACCAAAGATTTAACGTGTATTATGATAGCTGCGAGTGTTCCTTCATTTTTATCAATCTGGCTTTAAAAAGCTGAGGCTTTTGGGATCCCCGTTAGCATTCGCCAACCTCGCCAACCACGCGTTATATGTCATTACAGAAGCTGGATCTAAGCTTAGCGTGACGTACTTATGCATTAAATGTTATGAGCTTGGTCGGGTTATCCTTCAGCCAACGCTACCTGACGAGGGCGTTGAACATATCGCGGTATGACTACCCCGGTAGATGCTGGGCTGGTCACCGTCCCACGCCCATCACTGTTGGATACACTAAACGTCATCATGCGAGACGGTTGGGCCCACTCTCCGTCTGATGGTTATTCGACGTCGTGCTAGTACTTACTGCATCTTCTGACCCAAAAAGCATTTGTGCACATAGATGGCTTTTACTCTGCTGCCGATTAGAGTATACAGACAGTATACACACCAGGACTTCATACACAAGGGCTATAGAATGCGCGAGGAGCCACAGAGAAGGAAGCCGAAAGGCACACTTCCCAATTACGTGAGAGGCGCCGGTAATATAGGATTTCGGAGGGGTGTATGCCAGATGCGTGTGTTGGTTGTGTGGGGATGTGTTGTGATGTGTTTGTGTCCGTGGTGATTTACCGCGGGATTTGTTGAAGACGCATTTAACTTGATGGGCTCATGCGGTGAGTTAATGTGCGTGCATAGTGCGGGCTGTGAAGGCGGGTGTATATTAGGGCTCCCGGTACTGGTGCACCGGCTACAGTGCGATAGATTCGTAAATGACCGAACTGGTCGGTGAGTTAGGTGTATGTGCGATAGCTATCAGGACAGGTTGGGACGGAACCCACATCGTTAGAGGTGGGGGTGGTGTTAATGGTGGACGGGACGTCAGGGCGTTTCGGTCGGTGGCGGGGTGGTAGAGACGCTTGTGGTCGTCGTGGCCGCGGTGATTTTGGTAGAGATGATAAAGGTGGTGGTAATAGACAACGGTGGGACCTGGGGATCCGGTGTAACAGTGGTGAGGGTAGTCGGCGCGGGGGTTTGAGCAGGGGCAGTCGTGAAGGCATCGGTTGCGGTTGTTGGGCGGTTGGCGCATTGGGTCCGAAGATGACCGTCCAGGCCGGTCGCATGCAGAATGTTGGTTGTCAGCTCAGGCATGTCAGTTAGGGTTGAAAGACGATGTTGCGGGTCGGGGCACTTGAGACTCGCGAGCTGCTCTCTTGGTTTGGACGGCGGCGATCCGACTTGCTTCGTAGATGGCTACACCAGTCTTCTCTGCTCTTTTCCAGGCCAGTCTGTTCCAGACGGAACTTTCCAGGTCTCAGAGTTGATTTGCAGTCGCTGCAGAGTGTCCTTGTGGCGGCGTTTTTGTCCTCCCAGTCGGTGAGCTCTCATAGCGACATCTTCGTAGAAGAGTCGTTTGGGCAATCGTGCATCGCCCATCCCCATCAACTAGCCGCTCCATTGCAGCTGAAGTTGCCTTAGGATGGCGTGGATGCTGAGAGTTTCGGCCCGTTCCAGGACTTCTGTATCCGGTATCCTGTCCTGTCATCTCAGCCGTAGTGTTTTGCGAAGGCAGCTAAAATGAAAGTGATTGAGCTTCCTGGCGTGGCTGGAGTTGACGGTTCAGGTGTCCATTTCGTACAGAAGTGTCTTTAGGACGACAGCATTGGTCAGGCGGGGTCCGTGGTGGTTTAATACTGTGTTCTGCAGCCGGCCGAAGGATTGGCTGGCTCTGGGTATCTGATGAGTCGCTTCGTCGTCGACTTTGATGTTGCATGAAAATGTGATGCCTAAGTTGGCGAAGTTGCCCGCAGTCTTCTCTTCGTTGCTGTTAACGTGCGTTCGAGGAACACTGTATGTAGCGTTGGGTGGCGGTCGGTGCATAACCACCGTTGCGTTCTTGTTAATGGTCATTCCGATTTTGGCCCACCCATCGACGAACAGGTCCATGCTCCGTTGAGTGCACAGGCGTCCTCCACGAGCGGGTCGTGGAGAGAGGCGTTGAGGCCTCACGCATCGGCTGTTGAAATGTTTGTCGATTCCGTAGGCAGTGCTGGTCCCTGGGCGCTCATCACGGTAGGCGCCTATCAGGATGGCAGAGGACATGAGGCTGAAGGGTGTGGGAGCGAGTACGCAGCCCTGCTTCACTCCTTTGGTTTTTGAAAATGCGTCAAAGAAGATCCCACTGTCTTTGGCGTGCGCCATCATCCCTTCGTGGAGCTTACGTAACATGTGCGCGGATCGCTCACGACAGCCGAATTTCTGTATGATTTTCCCCAGTCCTTTGCTATTCATCATGCCAAAGGCTCTCGTCAAGTCCACGAAGGTAGTGTAAAGGTGAGTCTGCATTTCCTTTAATTTGTCCTGCATCTGGATGGAGGCCGCGGTGTCGTCGGAAGCCACACCGGCCTTCCGAGAGAAGTCCTTTTTCGGGATGCCCATTGAGACGACTGAGGAGGATGGGAGCGAAGATCTTTCCGACGACTTAAATAAAGATATTCCTCCGTGGTTATCACAGATTTGTCGTTTGTCTCCCAGTTTGTAGAGGTGAACGATTGCCGCATCCTTGAAATCCTGGGGAACTTGTCCGTGACGCCAAATCTTTTGAGATAGCGTTGTGATTTGATCCATAAGCTGGGGTCCGCCGTGCTTGTAGCCTTCTGCCGGAATCGCGTCAGATGGTGCATGACGTGGATTGTTTCCTAGAGAGAAGGTGGCACAACTAAGTCGTCATTTGTTTCCACTCGGGGTAGTCGGGGGATGGCGGCGCCGGAGATTGCGCAAGGGATGCTGAAGACATTTCCGAAGTGCGCGACCCAACGCTTCAGAATCTGTGAATTCTCCGTCAGAAAAGTTGTTCCATCGGAGGTGAGAAGTGGCGCGGTTCCTTTAGTTTGGAGACCGTATGTCGCCTCGAGTGATGCGAGGTTCGTGAGTTCATTGCGGTCGGTATAACCCTGGATTTCTTCGGCCTTGCGGATCATCCAGGCGTCCGGCATCTCCCTCATTCGATGCTGCAGAATGCGACGATAGCAGGAGAGGGCCGCCTTGTTTGCGGCGGTTTGATGGCTCATGTAGGCTTTGCGCAGCCGGTGCTTTTCAGCGAACAGCTGACTGATGTCTCCGTCGGATCAGTCCTTTTGTTGGCGATTTGCACAACCGAGGACGTCTAAAGCGGCGGAGTGGATAGCAGCCCGCAGTTGACACCACCGAGTCGTCACGGCGGCGTTGTCTAGGTCCGACAGTTCCCTCAGGTGCTGGGCTAACTGATTGCTAAAATGTAAATGGTAATCAGGCAGACTCATTCACAGTATACTATCACACAGATGTACAGATGTCCCCTTACCCATTTTGTCTGCGATTTGGACCCTCGATCCGGCACCACAGTCCAACGCCTTGCATCGTACACAGTCAGACATACAGCCAAGTCCCACACATGTGCGGTGATCTCCCTTGCGATCGCAGTTGCTTCTATTTGTCAGTATAGCTTGCTTGTTGCTGCCCACGAGGGCCTTGCCCATCCAATGTGGCAATGGATTTTCCGAACTCGTCATCACGGACTGTTAATCCGCCAAAATTTTGCTTTATATCATGCGTAGAAGCACTCCTTAACGCGGTCAATGTCTTCAATTGCTCTCAGTTTGTCTCGTCTTCCACAAGGGACGCATTTTAGCAATCTCAAACTGTTGTTTCGAGCACTTAGTACTCACGAATTTCACCTACCACGATTGTTTCTCTGTTTATAGCTGACCATGCACCTCACTAGTTCTAGCTGAATATGCTCCTATACTTACCTCATAGATCGAAACAGGTGTGCTGGCTTTTCTGTGTGTTAGACGTATTACTGCATGTTGGTCGGTTAGTTTCCCCCTCATTAAAACGGCTACTTTTAACTTGTTTGCTGTCACCAGAGCCGAGAGTAATAAGGACCAAGAAGTCTCGTCACACGATTACTGATTACTTGTTATGCGGTTGCCTATTTGAGTCGTAGAACGGACCGCCAAAGCAAACGAAACGACCATCTCCGCCCCCCCTCCCCAGTAGGCATAGCCTGATGATTACAACTTATGTGTGACTTCGAGTACCGACCGATTTTGCCTTCGAGCAACTGCGTCCTTCCACTGAGCAACTTTAACTTGTCTTACAGGTCCTATAGAATGTTTCCCGGTGATGAGCTTGGTCGCGGTGAGTCAAAGGTATGTCACCAGTTCTAAATTTTTTATGGTAAACTCATTTCTTCCCTGCCGACGCTTATTTCCCTTCGAAAAGACTGTTTCCGTACATTCAATACACTTAAATCTGCCCAAGATCCGCTGTGTAGTCCTAGTTCCACGGCATCTACCGTTTGTTCTCAGTCCCCTGTTCCTTTTTTTCACACCAAGAGGCTGTGTCGGACTGAGTGATGACTTCCTTCGAAAGCATAATCTCACTCTTCCGCGTGCAGGTAGTGAAACAAACGCTAGACGTCTGTAATTCTTTATTGTCACAGCAGTCCTATAATTGCTGGGAGACGACAGCACCACCAAGCCATCTTTTTGACGCTGGCCGTAGGTATGAATAATATAGACCACCTTTAAATAGATTCGCACTTTCTGTGTAAGAGATGCTGCATTTCGTGCCACATGCTCGCTCTCATCGCAGGTTTTCTGCTGTTCGGTCCCTCGCTCCCAATCTCTTGGAAAATACTATTCTTAATGCATTTACTATATCTCGGGTCAGCTCAGTGTTACACAACCACTTCATACCGTTTATTACGTGAAGTGGCCTCTATATTTTGTGAGAGTCAAACCTTTCAGGAAGCATTTAGTGGCACACTGCTGACTATGCGTTTTGATGCGTTCTTATGGCTCTGTTCTTTTTTTTTTAACTTAGAAGGAGTCCGCATGTGGGTTATTCAACGATAACCAGTTTTCAGCAGTCTGTGTTGGCCATTGATAAAATTGGTGGTCCAGTGTTCGTAGACTACAGGCTATAAGACTTTCAGCCTACTGGATGTCGACAGATGGGCCCATGTGTCCGAATAATGAGGACGCGCCCGATAAGATCGGCGATAGGCTGGTGAATAATCCGCAATACAGTCAGCGACCGATCTCATGAAATGTTAACTAGAATTCTAAAATTCGTTGTTGATTAGGAAGCATTACTGAAGTGGGGCTATAAGATTCACTTTTTTCCGACATAATCCCCTGATATTTCAGACACGTTGGATTCTTGACTTCTGAATGTACTTCTTTTCGGCCACTTGCAAAAACTACACTCGGTAAAAATGACTGCTTAAGTAGTACACATTCTCATACTCGTTTTTCGACAGCCCTGTAAGTTCAAGTATATTTCATTAAAAACCTCCGTGAAATATTATTTCTTGAACTGATTTGGTAGCAAATCATGTGTTCAAGTTCCATACGTGAAGAAAAGGTATCTCTTCGTATCAGAAAGTTTCTTCAATTAGACTATTTTTGAACCCGATCTGCCACTGCATTTTTGCCTAGGGTTATCCTTTTTCAAACTTTATTCCTTCCTTGCAAGGGAAAACGTATTCTTTCATGCCCTTAGGAAAATAACACGTTCGACCCATAAGATTTTGCGAAGAGTGTAAACTATTTTGCATACCTAATTAGGAGTGTTATTAGACAGACAGATACGATGCTATGTGGATGAATATTGCACGGTCTTAATAAATCTCAAAATTTGAACCTTTTTTTTCAAAACTGAATGATATCTTTTCCTCGAACATAAAGTGTGAAGAAGACATGATTTGAAAAGTCAGTTCGGCAATCACGGCTTTTCGATGATTTATCGTCAGGCCAATTCAAGTATATAGAAATTGAAGGTTCACAGGGTTTATAAGTGACTCAGGGGCTATTTAACACCCATCGTTTTCACGCCGCCCGTGTGACGAGGTCGGCGTGTTATAATCATTGGAGAAGAGGGGGGGGGTGACTGGCCGCGAGGGATACTTGTAAGTCGGGGACGCGGAGTACACATCACTGTCACCAGGGGGCTGGGACAGCGTGCAACAACCATATGGGATCGGCGTCGGCCACGGAAGACAGAGCGCCTGTTTGAACGTCTTCTGACAACATAGCTATGGATTCGCTCGTTTGTGAGTTCACAAACACGCGCTACCCCTACGTTCAATCTTCGCCCTGGTCGAAAACCAGAGTCGCTGCAAAGTTATTTATACCCTCGATGTCCGAAGGACTCCTTTGAGTTTGTCGAGACTGTCAAGAATATTAACGTTGACGAACGGAGGATGCTATCACCAGACCTACTTGTGGCAGAAGCACTAAACTACCTCTGTGACGTGAACCACGATACGAACTACCCGACAGACTCATTTACTCATTCACTTGCGTATGCGGGGCGAGATACATTAGCTGTAAAACAAGACGTCTGGAAAAGTGAGCACGTAAACACACTTCAACCTGGCCTGGCAGAGGTGACAACAGATCGATTTCGAATTTTACTCTGGACGTCTTGTCGATACGAATCACCAATTCGATGTCAAAGAAGCCTCTCCGGTTGTCTACCGGACACCAGCAAACTTCTCCAGAGGCCCACACCAGCGGGTGTTAACTACAGCCGAAGCAGTGGCTAAACAGGTAACGAATCCAGTGCTATTATGTCAGAAGGCGTCAACGCAGGCGCTCCGTCTTCCGTGGTCGACGCCGATCCCAGATAGTTGTTACACGCCTCCCCAGCTCCCTGGTGACAGTGATATGTACTCCGCATCGCTCACGGCCTATGCCACTCCCCCTCCCCCCCAGTGATTGCAACACGCCGACCTCGTCACACGGTTGGTATGATGAGTGTTAATAGTCCCTGGGTCACTTATAAACCCTCTGAACTTCTCATATCTTCAATTTCTATGTAACTGTATTGACCTGATGATGAGTTGCCGAAAACTCCCACAGGCCAAATTGGAATATTCACAGAACTTAAAACTTGATTTACTACCAAATGTGTACAAGGAGTAATATCCTTGTGCATGTCGTCTGCAAAATACTGTGGAATGATGCGTACTACTTAAGTATTCATTTTTGCCGGGTACGGTTTTCGCAAGTGGCCGAAAAGGACCACATTCAAAAACCAACACCCTAACGTGTCGAAAATTTCACGGGATTAGGTAGCAAGGAAATCAATCTTAGAGCCTCATTTAAGTAATCCTTCCTAATCGAGAACGCATTATATATGCGGGAGAGGTGGGTATTGTGGATCGACCCTGACTGTGAGACTGATGCACGTAGCCGTGTCCGAATTCAGCATTGTCCACTGCAGACATCAGGGGCATACATCGGACATAACTGCCTATTCGTAGTGCCATTATATTTTCAAGCCGGAGGAGAGCGCTGCTGTAAATTCGAACCGAATCTGCCTTTTAGGGCGGCGGCAAAGGTGGTTCTATCCGCGACGCGGGTGGTTCAATGGGAAAACGTCAGGCCGCCTTGGAAGAGGAGTACTTCCACCGAAAGGTAGGTCATTTCGGCGCCTTCCTATATCTCCTTTCTCATACAGAACAAGGAACAGCTTGAAGCAATGAAGAAGCATTTGCAAGCTGAGATGAAGTTCCACGAACAACAGATTCAGCTCCACAAGGTATGTATTGTTTCCCTTTTTTCATTTCCATTTAAGCACATATGACATATGCGTTTTTTTAAAAAAAAACTGCTTTTTTGGTAGTCTTTTTTTTTTCTGACAATTAACTTCCGCAGATTGAACTCACGACCTTCAGAAATTGAGCCAAAGCTAGTACGAGGCCGTAACTGGCGGCGTATCATTATTCACTCCACACCGATACTCCCGAGAGAGAAGAGTTTATTTTATGAGCGTGGCATTATGCCAAGTCAACTTAATGTCCTTTATCTGCCTGCACATATAGACAAGTTTCTTCAGACATAGCACTGCCAGGACTTTGACGACTAGCAGCTGCTCTTTTATTCTCTCGCAAACAGCCCCGAGGAGGCGTTTGCGCCAAGTGGCAATCACTCTCTCGCATACAACTGTCTGTTAAATCTGCTTAATCGTGCTGATTTGTACTCCAAGAGTCTGAGAGTTCCGTCAAACGAAACTGATGCATCCGGCGTTTACAGTTTCGTGATTCTCCCACGATTTATTCGCCACCTCAATTTTCTGTGACACGTGCATTTGTGTGCCGCATTCGCTGATTGCACCACATCTTCGGGTGACTAATCTGTCGAAAATGCAGTGTAGCGGATATGCACACCTTGCTGATAAGGCCTGGGCTCTGCGGCGTTAGGCAGCAGTCGCCTAACCTGATTCCGACCTAAGTTGAGGATTCCTAAAAACCGTAAACGGTTGTTGTCTCTGTGCTTACCGGGTAGTGCTTCTGATGTGATAGGAGATTATTCAATGAAAGGCTGCGGATTGCCGACTAATCTGACGCGATCATAACGATACGACCCACCGACCAAACTGAGCGCGCAGTCCGTCCGCCTAATAACTGCCGCCTGTTGCCCTGTTGTGGCCAATTCCTGATCTGAATTTTATTCTTCACGCCATTTAGAATCGTGACCTGCGGTATTTTTCCAAAAGTCCTTCAGTGGGCTTGGAACAACCACGTTATTGACTATGCAGTATTCGCGTTTTTGATGTCTAGTCAAAGTGTAGCAGCTGCATTCTTCCCGTTTAATGCCTCTTCGAATTTTTGCCGTCTTTTAGGCTGCTTTGGAGCGCCAGAAGAAGTCGCTGGAAAAACTGGACGACGATTAACGTCACCCATACTACCGACTATCTCGTCCATTCAGACAGCAGCCCTTTCGGTTTTGACATCCTTTTGTAGTTTCTTGCCCTACATTCGAAGTTGTTATTAAAGATGCGATCACATTGCCGCCTTGTTGTACCAGTGGCGGACTGAATTTTGTCCATGTGATGCGACGTGCGACAGCAGTCGTGCGTCTGTCATGACTAAACAGTTATCACTGACCCCCCAAATCCGCGGCGGTCTTTTTTTTATTTCTGAAGAGTTGGCATTCGACTGCCTTTCCGCTGCTTTCGCACTTGCCGCGCGCTCAACAGGCCGCAATTCTGCATACTGATCGGTCATCGTCGTTGTCTCATCAGCGTAGGCAGCATCTGTAATACACCGGCCACAACGCGCTGTAGTTCCTGGTTTGTCTGTTAGAGCGTGTTTACGAACTCCGTCTGTCACGTAGTGTATACAGTATACTTGTTGTGTGGAGTGGCGGACTGGTGAGCTGAGGACCGACTGAAACGGCACCTACCACGGCCCTCTCACGCAAGCGAGAGACACACCGTTCAACTCCCGTCGTGCGGATTCCTGGTGGGTTTGTGTATGGGGGGCCAGGTCGTGCACGTGGCGCGCGCAGTCACGGTCAGTCGATCGAACATGCCAGCCACCGCGCCCATTTCTCACTCCAGTCTGCTGACCGGCTCGGACAGTGGTTGGAGTGTGGCAATGGGAAGGGAGAGTGAGGTCGACGTCTCAGCGCACTTCCTCCTCACTATAAACAATCTGACGCGCTTGAAGCTATCACGGTGCGCTAAAAGCCGTGGCTTGGAAGGTCGGCAACTGACGGGATAACTTGGACCTCCTTTACTGGAGGTCTGAGAGTCAGGCTGCAATGTCTCCTGTGTGGGATCCGAGCCGGGCGTCGGCGGCACGCCTAAGTGCGGCTTAGGCCGTGCCAGCTTCCAATCTCTGTTGTGTTGGTTGAAATCCTGGTTATTTGTTGTGTGGGCCAGGGGGTGTGGTGGAAAGCCAAGGTGAGGAACCGTCAGAGCAATCCACCTGAGTTTTCACTCGACTCCCGATTTCATGAATATGCCTTGACACCGGGCTCGGGCGAGGGAGAAGAAGAGAGTATAGGTAGATGCAACGCAAGTCTACCGGCACTATAAGCCCCTGCGCAAGTCAACTTCCCTGCTTCCACCGCTGCTGCTGTGGGATCCACGGTGGACATAATCGAAATCGATGATCGAACTATCATACTGGGGCTTGTGCAAACACAGCCTTGGCCAGACGTTGATGCTACTGAATAGGTCACTGTTTCAATCCGTACGAAGTTGACTTCTGGTTTTGGGAAAAGTGCTTGAATCACTCGAATTGTCTAATACGGTTGGTCGCGGGATTCCCCCGGACCGGTTTACTCGCAGAGGCGTGAGGTATAGGACTGACGGAACCTTGCAGTTCCTTCGGCAAGACGGGAATGACGGCTCGGCATATACTTGCCAACTTTGCCGCGCAATCAGCCAGCCCGTAGTCTGGAGCAACACCGGATGGGTAGCTGTCCTCGCTGGACGTCCAGTCACCCGCCAGTTTTGTTATCGCATTAAAAATCACTAAGATGGCGGGCGTGCCGGGGCGTCTTCGTGCTGAGCGGCAGGTGAGAGAACCCAGCATGCTAGGTTCGCAGGCGGGTCGAGGCACGCCTTCCGTTAGTGTCGCGTTGGCCTTATCACGATTAACTGAGTGTTTAGACGGACAGATTTCGGAATGGCTCCTCGATGAGGTGTAGTACGATCGCGTGGGGGCTTCTTCTGCTGATGCACGTTCAGATCTCGAATGGTTCTATTCAAGAGTTCAGAGCCGACATACGGCCATTACCGTCGTGACCTAACATCCCTCTAGCGTAGTTTCGAGGTACTTCAGGTCTGACCATAGGCATCTCCTGGGTAGCTGCTGCTTGCATCAGTTTGTCGAGGTGACTGGAGATGCCTAGGTGAGGCCTGTAGAAACATCAGAATCCACTAGAGGGTCAGCGCCCCATACATCGGTTCGCATCATGGCCAAACCCTCGTAAGAGGACTTATTGGCCCTGAGCAACAACGCCGTCTAGTACTGACCTGGCAAGGTGCCCCCGGAGAAGCGTGAAGTCGAGTTGATTTTGTATGTGACAGTCCTTTGGGTATCAGGTGACTGCCTGTCACGTGGCGTGCGGGGAATAGATTTTTTTTGTTGACCTAACGGTTGGTCTCGGTGGAGCTCACGAACCGCGGTTATGCAACGATTTCGCACAGCATATTAGCCCAGTACTTCACTCGTGAACGCACTGCGTCCTTCCCTCCTGGCATTTCAGTTCCCCGCAGCGACAAGACGGCTGCTTTTTGAAATAATTGGCGGGAGGTCCCTCTGCTTGTCATCCAGATCCAAAGTTGGTCGGGACTTGACCCTGACAGCAGCGCCAGGTAATCGCATGAGTACAAATCTCGACGGTACAAACTTCCGGTGGGCATGACTGAAGCTTTCGTCCGATCCCTGAAAGCGCCTCCGATTTCATGTCGGCGAGGGGCGCCACTGACGTCGCTCCGGTTTCCTGACCCTCGATCCGGCCAAAGGACCTTCGAGAGGCAGGCAACGTTACTCTCCGTTCATATTGTTAGGCAACCACGCTCATTTATTCCACACTCCAAAGAGACCCACTCGTCTGTTGACCTCGCCGCTCTTTTACAAAGGTCTGGACCCGTCGCCTGCCGACCTCGCTGCGGTACGACTCAAGATTCTTAACAGGGGGCTTGCGTGAAGCGAGTACTCAGGGTTACGTGTTGGTCCGATTCCTTAACCCACAATTAAACCCACCAGAGAATGCTTTATGCTTGCCACGTCATAGTTATATCATTGGGCTCAGATAAGGCCTTTGATCTACCAAATAATCGTCCGCATTCTTCTGACAGCGTCTCTACCAGTCCATGATTGCCCTCTTTCTGTTTCGTGAGCGGCATGCACTGAAGACCGTTCAACCGTCCTCCGCCTTTGCTCGCGCCGCGTATCGAGTAGGTATGCAGGCAAGTCCTATCTTCCGGAGGCACTTAGTGCTCTACTGTGTCTCTAACGTCCGTGACGCTATCAAAAGCCCAGACTGCAAGGTGACACCCATTGAGATTTCACCTTCGAGTCAGCAACCACATCACCACTCATCGCCTCTACCCACCAACACATACACCGCGAATACACCCCTCCTCCCTCCCCAAGGTCCCACATCACCAGCACCTCTTAAGTGGGAAATGTGCTTCTCAGCCCCCTGCTCTATGTGGTTGCTTGGCTGCATTTGAGATCCGAGCGTTCTATCTCCCCTGGGTACGGAGTCCTGGTGTGTTTTATTTGGGGAGGGGGGGGGGGCAGGCCGTGCATGTGACGTGCGCAGACGAGGGTGAGGTCGACGACTGAGGGCAACCTGACGCGCTTGCATCAGTCATGGTGCGCTAAAAGCCGTGGCTTGAAGAGCTGCCAACTGGCGGGATGACTCGGTCACAGCAGTCAGTCCAGTGTGTGCGGTGGACTGAGAGTCCGGCTGCGATGGCTACTTCTTAATGTGTCCACTATGGCTCCCCCACTCCATGGGATCTTAGCTAGGTGTGACGGCATGCCAAGGGGCGGCTCCGGCCGCGTCAGCCACCTGAAACTTGTCCCACCTCCGGTTTTCCTGACGTGGTTGTGTCACCGGGCCCAGGTGGACAGGAGAGGGTGCGGCAGGTGTTGTGCAAGCCTACAATCACTATACAACTAATTTACGCGCGTCACCGTCCCTGCTCTTACCCTATTGTGGAGCACACAGTGCACGCTGTCGAAATCAACTGCCGAACCGTCAGTTTGGTTGACCCAAACGCAGCACCGCATGGGCAACAGGCTGGGACAGTCAACTTTCACCTGGACGAGGGGAGGAAAAATTAATTAATCCTCACCGTATTCCAGCGCATTATTCACTATGTCTTGAAGAAGGAGACACGATCGCTGGGACAAGAGCTTTTTTCACCTGACGTTTTAGATCCCTGCTCGAACCCATCATCAGAGGCAAAAGCAGATACGAGTGGTTCATGCACAAGGGGTTGCAGTATTTATAGGATGCAGTCGTCATGCTACCACATACCTATGAATATTCACGACTTCCCCCCTTCATCAAAGATCATTGCACTTGGCGTGATGGCATTTTGATGGCCGACATTCGCGTCGTTAATTGCAGCAAGTTCATCACGTGCGTTGGATGTTGGTGTGATAATTGCTCGACCATCTGATCCACCGACCCTGGTGTTGGGAGGTGTTCACGTGTGCGCCCACCGCATGCCTAATTACTCCGCCTAGGCGAAGTCTCAGCATCGAGTATGGAAGGGGAAGGTCATTGCACTTGTTGATGGACGAGGGCCAGTAAACCATGACTCCAGCAGCTCCCGGCTCACGGTTGTCACCCCTTGCGAGAATTTCGACCTCGTCAAATTTAAAGGTGTGACCAGATCTCGTCGAATGAGTCGCAACTTGGGAACTGGCGTCATTTCTCCGCACCGCTGCAGCGTGTTCGGCCATTCGCGTTAGGAGCTGTCTTCCGGTTTCTGCGGCGCAGGTGCTTTGTCCGCAACTGCAGCAGATCCGATAAAAGACTCCAGACGTTTTTTGCCGTGACTGCCACGGCTGCCAGCACATGCTAGGCTGCGAGGGCCATGGTTTGCTAGTACTGGCATAGCGCACGCTTTCGGAACTCTTGACTATCAACCATTAAATCCTGCGTGGACGTCACAGTCGGTTATCGGAGTCGGGACGCCAGCGTTACCCTGGCTCTTCCTGGAAAGCAATTTGACGTCCTCTAACAGCAGTTTTTCTGTGCTACGCGTTTTTTGTGTCACCACACCCACCGTGTCAGTTACTCTCGGCACCTCAGTCCGTTCGTGCGTGTATCGATTTTGCTGACGCGGCCTGATTTATGTTGGCCTCCCACGCTCTGCAGTATATGAGATGGTAGTAGCTTTGACTGTGGGTGCAC